GCATAGGTCATCATTTATTTTTCATTTGTAAGGAAACTTATGGGACACCTTGTAGAAAACACTGGAAAACAAACATAATTGATCTTTAACCTGTGACAGACAGTCTATTTTCTTAATTAGGCACCCAAAGCTAATTTCACCTGTCAAGGACAATAATAATACTGAAATTAAAAATCATGAAAGATGCAAAAATAATTTTGTGAAATGCATTTTTTTTCACCAAAAAGCATAATCCACCAGGAAACCACATTAAATAACATATGAATATACATACAAGTTTACAAGAGTGTTGTGTAACTCACCTTTAACTATTAGAAAAGTGCTGTACAGTGAAATGAACAAAATCTTATCTTTAAATATCTCAGTTCTACATTTTCTCAATTGTTACAAATGTTCACAAATGATGGTGAACTACTGAAGAAATCTGGAAGATAGTATGACAGCGACTGTAAAAACGGACGCGTGTGGTCATTGACGCATTTGGAGGGTTAAGAAAAGATGACGAAATAAGTCGAAAGAGTTGGACCACACATCAAATGTATGGGCACTGGTTTTCACTGAAAATGGACGAAAAGAAAGAGATACCTCTTTCTTTTTTCAGTGCTAGTTTAACCCCCAGGTTTAAAAAAAAAATCTGTTTAGCTTTCATTGGCTGTGAACTGACAAGTTCTGTCTGTTGATCTACTTCTGGACTCAGGTTTTGCTCCAGAACTTGAGTTGCCTGCTCATAACATTTCCAGATCTGGCATCTATGCAGACTGTTGGTTTTTCTCCTCTTAGGCACATGTTCTCTAGCTTCGAGTTAAATACCCCTAATTCGTTACTTTTTATGGCATGCTTGTTAGGGGAGGGCAGTGGGTCTATTCTACAGAAAAAATCCTACCACAACTGTGCCAACAAGCAAACTCCAATCCTGCCACAGCTGTACCACTGGGAAAACTCCAATTCTGCCATAAGTGTACAGCTGGAAAAACTCCAATCTTGTCATAACTCTTCCACTGGGCAAACACCAATCTTGCTATACAGCTATTGAGTGAAATACTAGAACACTTCCTATGCTAACAATTATGCCATAACACAGGTCTGTAGAAACAATATTTTACTATAACATCTAAAAATGTATAAAAACTAGTATCATTCACATACTAGACGGCTATTTACCAAATATTTATAATTAAACAAAAATGGTAAATATAAATTTACTCTGGAAAAATACTGCACTAACAACAGAGCAAACAAACAGCTGTACGTGGAATTCCAACTGTTCTGACATTCCCTAGATACAGAGGTTAGCCGTGAATATACGGAGATAAGGTTTCACAGAACAAACATCAGAAAGAGACATCATTTTTCTGTCATGTATGAGTAGTGGGAAAATGGAACAAGTTGTGACCACTGGAAAGATCTGTGGAACAAGAGATAGAGGAAGACAGTGTGAGAAGATTCTTGACAGTCATTTGTCATGGCATGGAGAGGTGTCAGCACATGAACTGATACACACAGTTGCAGATCACAGATTACGGAAAGGCATGATCGCCCAGCCTAGTCAGCAAGGCACTTGATAATGATGAAGTGAATCATGGATAATGAACAGTTAAGGCATAAATTATTTAGAGGTTGCAAATATCTTGAAACTCATAAAGAGAAATGGTTACACACATCAAACATTTCCCATGTGAGTTCGGCGGCCTCATTTTGGAATTGAGGGATCAACATTAAACCGCATCAACATGTAGAGACACTTCTCTATGTGGGTTATGGAGAAAAGAAGAACAGAGCCACTGGCTCCCCATCAGGCATGTGGTAACAGTCAACTAATTGGCCGTGTCCTTCGAAGTCAGAATGCATCTGCCTGAGAGGCAAGGAACTAACAGTCTGCATACAAATAAGTCCTATCTTTAAAACATGCATGTTTCACCATTTGATACAGATGGTATAGCATTGCATGAGTTTGAGAAGGAGAGGTGAAATATGTTTTTATTTGAATTTGCTTGCTGTGTGTAATCTACAACAGTTTATGTCGATGGCAAGGACCAATCAGCACCTATTCTAGGCAGCTGGTCCAGTGTATGAACCTACATTGCATAGGAGATCGGCTGGCTGGGAGAAGATAGGCAGAGCCTCAAATTGAGGGCTGTCCTAGGTTTTATTTTCTTGAACCTAAAGTTATATTCATCATATTTAGTCATAAAACTTTTCATCATAAAAAAAATATCACTCTAATCTCAAATGCTCATTGTTCTAGCTGAAGTATTTTATTACCACCATATCATTAGCCAGTCACTGTCTGACAAATGTCATCTAAATAACTGATAGTATAATAAATCACTATATCAGGTTTTATACTACATCTTTCGTCAAATTCCAAGTGTATTTCTTCCTACATGTTTAACTAAACTGTTAGAAAAATATTAAATTTTGTGGGGGTTCTTTAATAATTCTTTACCAGGAGGAGGTTGTAAGAAGGGATCACCTGCCCTATCTAACAATTGATTATATAAAGTAATTAGACATCTAAAACCCCTTTCTCTATCTGTGGGTACCAAATGCAGCTACTGTTAATTGATACTACAAGCCAAATATGGCGGTTTTCTTGGATACCCAGGACTTTGTTATCAACTTAACTCAGACACTAGTTCAGTTTTCCCTGTAGAGCTGGAGTTTTGAGGTTCAGACTTTCTCTCATCCCAAAAACAACTATCCACAAGGAACTCATGACAGTGGCAAAATATAACATAGCAAAAATGTTAACATTTGTTAGCACAAAATAAATGACTGCACAGAGGCATCATACATTCTAAAAACGTGCCTGCTCACAAGCTTAATGAAAATAAGATTGTAATACTATCAATGTTACAACATTTACTGAGTTGAATGTGCAAATATCTAGCCAGATGCTTGTAGTATGTTCACTCCAAATTTTAACAAAATATAATAACACACTATAGCTGATCACAAATGGCGATCCCACTCTTTGGGATAGAAACAGTTAACTGCTTACTTACCAGTTAATGTTCTAAGAAAACATGGAAATTCCTAAGAAGGCATAAAGGACAATCTTGATCAGAGTAGCAGTTTAACTTAACTTGATCAGCAAGAATATGGATAAATATTCAGTTAATGTAAGGAAATCGAATAATTCTATATTCCTCTAACATTAAACATTAAACATGAAAGTGAACACTGCAATTTGGAGATGAAAATGTCATGATAAACAGAAGTTAGCTGCTTTAGGAATCTTCCCTGCACAAGATTGACATTCACACTGACTCCTGAAAGTGAAGCTACGGTCAGTTGTTTAAAAACTGCATAGACTGTTGCCAAGCAACTCATTAATGTTGAGCTTATCCATCCTATAATTTGTCTAATTTAGCATTAAAGATCCAATGTTATCATTCCTTAATTTCTTCTGATAGTGTAGCCAAAATATATCCTCTAAGTAAGTAAGTTGTATCCCACCAGGACATCACACAAGCAATAAACACCCAGTGACACAAAGTGCCACCATGCATTTAAGGATCACCGGTGGAGAAGTCCCAGAAACCCTGTTCAGGCGTCAGGCTATATTTTTGGCCTCCGGCAAAAGCTTCTAAATATATCTCTTCTAAATCTGTTGATATTACTTGTCAGCTCAAACTATTATTTTTATTTTATATTAAAATAACGAAATGCAATTGGCAAGCACAAATATCCAACAATAAATGACATGGACAAATTATAAATATCCCAACACCAGACTGGTTGAACAGGATGATAATGTTTAAATTACTACTACTGATGACAAGTAAGACATTACCACAGAGCGATACATTATATATCTATCATGTTTATTTCATTGTAATAACCATCTTTCCCAAGTAGTTAATTATTTATTCCATGGTGTTTGAGTGGCCAACTTCTGCTTTTTGCAACTAAAAGCCAAACTTGTGCAGATCAGTGTCTCATATATTTACCATATTTAACACTTTCACAAGTTTGAAATTTTACCTAATTTTACTGATAACTTTTGAACCTGATAATTCATACAGCAAATTAATAAATTAATGAGTGAAGGGGACAAAATTGTTATCTTTTATATTCTTGCATACAAAACTTCTTTTTCCCCCCAGAATTAATCAATTATTATTAGTTTCTAATGCATCTCTACAAAACTACGTTACATTCAGATCACAGCCTCTGCTAAGCCAGACTTCTCTCTGATACAAATAATGAGTTATTCAATGGGTATATTATAAAAAAACACCTTAAATTAAATGTCTGTAAACCTACTACTATAACCAAAAGCATAATCACTGAAGACACTGCATTCAGAGAAAAGTAAAATCCACCCAACAAAAATATTAAATAATTGATCATATAAATAGCAGTTGAATTTACAATTCCCCAACACCTCTAACCTTTTCTTCTTCTTCTTCTTCTTCGCGTTCACCAGCTGTACACTCTGGCGGAAAGTTCTGGTTGTTCGTTCACTTCTGAACTGCAGTCCTGCTCCAGAACCTGATGCGTGTGCATCAGTTTTACAGATCTGATTCGCTTGAATGCAGACGGTTGGTTCCTTGCCTCTCAGGCAGATGCACTCCGACTTCAAAGAAAGCTCCCCAATTAGTCGACTCTTACAACATGCTTTTGGGTAGGCAGTGGGTCTATTCTTGTTTTCCCCACAATGGGACCCCGGAACCCACACAGGGATCAAACCTTATAAATAAGGCAAAGCTACCAGGATGAGAACAGTAAAATACAGCCAATTGTGAGAACCATGGGTCAAGGCCAACCTTATGCACAACCTCAAAACAGAAAACTCACAGGACATACAACACCATATTTGAAACAAGATGCAATATTAAGCCAAATTATGAAAATATGAACCTTTACGAATGTATAAATTTGGAAATGGGTGTATAAAACAGAAAAATCACAGACTGAAAGCATAAAATAATTTAGTTCAGCTTTTTCTGGCAAGGTATTCTCATGATAACTTAAATCCATCATAATTATAACAATCATGCTGCAATAGGGCAGCATAAAACAGATTGAAGCATCATGTGATCATCAACAGGAAGCACTGTTTTGAAATGCAGCCACTCAAGGGGAGGTAAAGGCAACTGGCTTGGGTCTGGTGAAACAAATGAATCCACTGCATAAGATTCATTACACAGATCAGGACAGGTGTTAATGCAAATGCCTGGCTTTGCTAGGCCAGACAGTTCACATGCCTCAATTCTTCCATATGCACTGTTTTTTTCTGAATCTGAAAGTCGAGTCATTGGTGTATTATCACAATCTCTTCTTAGAATAGTCTTAGATTTTCTTTGGTTTCTGGAATAAATTCTCTGTGGTTTATAAACATATCTTTGGTTGCCCTGGTACTTCTGTTTCTTGTCTTTCTGAGATAAGTCACAAGGGCTGGCTCGGATGTTCTGAGTGTGAAAGATCAGGCCCGAGTTGCCAGTGTAAAGTTTTCTGTGACTCTGACATTGCCGCTGGTCAGTAGGAAGATTTTGTCTTACTGCTGATGGCATTGTTGTTTCAAAACCTGAAACTGACAATTGTACATATTGATGATAGCATATACTGACCGATGATAGCATATACTGATTGATGATAACATATACTGACAGATGATAGCATATACTGATTGATGATAACATATACTGACAGATGATAGCATATACTGATTGATGATAACATATACTGACAGATGATAGCATATACTGATTGATGATAACATATACTGACAGATGATAGCATATACTGATTGATGATAACATATACTGACAGATGATAGCATATACTGATTGATGATAACATATACTGACAGATGATAGCATATACTGATTGATGATAACATATACTGACAGATGATGGCATATACTGATTGATGATAACATATACTGACAGATGATAGCATATACTGATTGATGATAACATATACTGACAGATGATAGCATATACTGATCAATGATAACATATACTGACAGATAATAGCATATACTGATTGATGATAACATATACAATCAATTATGTAGTCTTCCAGTTACTGAAAATGGCTCTGATAAAACTAGTCCCATGACATATACTTCTTGTTTGTTTGTTACATTTGCCCTTAAAAGGATGGTTGGCATTTTGTTCTGTGGTTTACAGCTAGGCCGCAATATCTGCAGTTTTTTAGTCCAAAAGATCAGAGTTCATCAAACCCCTCATTAGTCACCTATTACAATACGCCTGATAGGAGGAAGTGGGGTTTTTCTTCTTTCTCACTAAAGCGGGACCCCTGAACCCACACAGGGGATTTGGTGTTAAATTTTAGGTCTTTGTAAGTTACAGGCAACAGCAAACACAGGAGAGATGTCCTGTTTCCTTCCTCTCTGTCTTTCATTCCATTACACTAAACAACTAAATCTCTAGTACCCATTCCTGTCATGGTGGTAATGACGAATGATTACTGGTCTAACAAATCGAGATGGAACCTGGACCACATTTATCATCAGTATGAAGTGGAAAAAATCATTTAACTTTACTTACTCTAAAAATGTCAATTAGGTATTTCCTAAATTCACTACCAACACAATTATTTGTTTTAGCAGATCTGTAAGCGGATGTTCACTCAAAACTCAAGTTCGGGTATTAGACCAAAGTTGAGAAGTGGATAAACAACCAGAACTTTTTACCTGAGTTTGGTGACAGCTAAGAAGAAAAAGAAGGCATATCTGCTAGGTTTATAGTGACTTCACAGACCAGCATTGTACTGTACCTAGATCATCCCACGAACCTCATCTTATGTGGGTCATTAATCTTTACTTTACATTACAGAATGCTTCACATTTAAAATTTCATTTATATTTTTTTCATGACAAATTTTTCATTGGTCTGTATTTTATACTTTAACTTATGTTGGAAGCCGCCGTGGTGTAGTGGCTAGATGCTTACCTGTAGATCCAAAGGTTGTGACTGCAGGTCCTGAAGGAGCCTGACTATATTTTTTATAATGACCTTGGTTCCCAGGCAGACCCAGCCTTAAATGGGTACTAGGTAAAGTCCTGTGAAGTGAAGGCAGCCAGTGGGCTATCTTCCAAATAACGGTCCCAATTTATCGAGGCGGAAATATACCCTAACAGAGCCTCAGTCACGGGTCAATTGCGCACTTCCGAGGACTAAACTGCCACCCCCCCCTGAATTGCGAACTTCCGGGGACTATATTGCCACCGCCGAGATGGATTGGGGCTAAACTAGATGGCTTGGACTCACGAGCAAATAAAATGAAGGAAGCTGCAGGAGATGCGGTAGCTGCTGCTCGTGAGTCCCAGCCATCTATTTTAGACCCAATCCACGCCGCGTGAGCGGCGTGTGGAATACTCACGGTGGTGCCGTAAGTCGCCGGTAGTGCGCAATTTAAGTCACCAGAAGTTCACAATTGACACGTGACTGAGGCTCTGTTAGGGTATATTTTCGGCCACGATAATTTGGGACCGTTATTCGGAAGATAGCCCGGCCAGTGTGATGCAGTCATTTCAGCCATTGAGTGCTGATTGGTCTAACAAATACAGGTCTAGCCCTATATGCCTGAAGGTGTTAAAAAATGTTCCTTCACTTATGTTACTTGTGTTTACATGTCATTGAGTATTGCGTAAAAAATGGGTAATGACAGGTTTAAAAAAATATGAGATGAGTTATTAAATCATATGAGAAGTAGTTTAGGGCAAAGTTGATATAGTGACGAAGTTTTGGCAGAAGCAATCCTTTTTCTTAGTTTCTGTTCACCAGCGGAAAACTCCAGTTGTCAGTTCTACTTGTTTGTCCACTTCTGGAAGTCCTCCATTGAACGATTAGTGAACAACAGGTTATTTAATTTCCTGGAAGAAAACATACTTAAAACATAAACTATTAAGTTCAAATATAACAACTTAACAATTGTCAAGTTAAAACATAAACTTACACTTAACTATATACTAAATATCCAACATGACAATAAATAATAGTTTACAAATAATAAACTATATATTTCAGTCAGTAACAAACTAAATTTGAAAACAGCAAACTGAAAGAAGCTTGCCAAGGTTAACAAGGAGAAACGAAATGCGTCGGTTTAAGAATAATAATAATAATAAAACAGCTCAGTATACATCAGTTTTTAAATGACAAACAAAACCTACTTTTTAACCCTGAAAGAGCACTCATACAACACGCAATAAAACATCTAGACTGTGTATTGACTATCACATACTGTCAATAGTTAGCGACTACACATGACCTAAATATTTTCTCTACTGATCCTGCAATCAATTTCGTGGCTGATGTTGTTTGTTTGTTATTTTAAATGGGGAGCATGACGTAGTCCAGGCCAATGGAAGCCTAGGTATATTTATATTTAGTAGTGTGTTCAATAACGTCATAGGAGAGGCAGCGATCTATTATTTATTATCTGGTGGTTCGCTTAGCTCAGGGGAAAAACGGAAAAGGGAAGCAATAATTTTTTTTTAAAATCTTTTCTAAATAAAAGTAAAAAGAAAAAGTTCTAGCCCTGTATGCCCAACAAAGGCGTGGAAAGGGATCCTTTAACCTAGCTTGATTGATTCGACTGGCACCTTTCCGTCTTTCCAGACGGCAGAGTTATATTGTCCTATGAGGAAGCATGGGACTCGCAGCCCCTCCAGTTATGATTAGGGATGAAGTTCACCCTCTCCATAGCACAACGCCTGGGCAGTATTGCAGAGACCATAAATTGCCTATGCATTATGATCCCTTTCGACCTGCCTTGTTTACTCCAAAGGAAAGGTAACACCAGTACGTTTGGAACAACGCTGACTGTAGAAGCTGCAGGAGCAGAAGAAAAAAATGTAAGGTAGCTTTACTCGGCATTGACGCATTGGGCATATTCGATTATACTCATATTTTTAAAGACCTTTGATGGGTGATATGGTCAGCATCACGCCGGCCACCTTTACTTTCCATGACGTCGCTGGTACCCATTTAAGGCTGGATCGACACGGGAACCAAGGTGACGTTGGAAAAAACATTTTCTTTAGGCCCCAGGTCGAAATCATCATCACCATCATTAAAATTACGAGCATTCTATTGTGCAGTTAAGAAGTCGCATAGGGCTTTTTGTCTCTCCTTCTTCTTCGCGTTCACCAGTTGTAAGGCTGATGCATTCAGACTTCGAAAGAAGCTCCCACTTAGTCGACTCTTGCGACATTCTTTTGTGTAGGCAGTGGACCTATTCTTTTTCCCACAATCAGTCTAACACCTTTTACTTTTCTCATTAACGTTCGCCTTGATGTTCGGATTTCCTCAAACCAACCAAGACTGGCTCTAGGCCCAACTGCGACGTCTAAATGGGGTACATAGTAATTTCTGTGAACTAGAGGCGACCGTTCCAATATCTGAGGGCTTTACCCATCCTTTATGGAAAATGAAAACATCTTTACGCCAGATCCCCTTGTAATTCTTCGCAGCGCGATTCTCCTCCGACCGTAATGATCTATCTGTACCTCGGCACTGCTCACTCGCCCACAAAGGGCCCTCACAACATATAGCTTGTGTACATCAGTTCACCACCAACTGGTGCAGAACAGGCCAGTCCATCTGCTTGCTCATTTGCCAACACACCGGCATTACCTGGAGAAAATATCCAAAGGATGCTAGCTATCCGGGACCTTTGAAGTGATGCTTGCCACTCTGCAAGGAGCATTACTGTCTCCACCTTTCTCAACATGCTCTGTGAGTCAGTTAAAATGACGGCATGTGTGTACAGCTGATTCTCAAGCAAACGGAAGGCAGCAGTGACTGCCTCCACCTCCATTCTCAAACTAGACCTTGTGAAATCATATGCCAGGCTTTGTTGCACCAAGCGACGTCCATTCACCTTCGCTATGAACCCCTAAGCACTTCGTCTGCCCCTCAACACAAAGCCATCTGTATATAAAATCACATAACCTGGGCGAGAATTTGCATGAATCATTTGGTGAACTTCTGATTCTGCAGCACCAGCTGGCCAGTCACTGCACTCAATTCCCAGTGATTAAAACCCTACTCAAGTCTGAAACCTGATCGGACACTTTGACCCACTCCTCTCCTCGCCTAAATTTATCACGCTTGCACACATGTCCATTTGTGTCTTCAGCTTGCGCCATCCAAGACTTTCATCTTTTCGAGACCGTGAGCCTTAGCTCTATCCAGGGCTTTATGCAGGAGGTTAGAATCCAGAAGTGGACGAGCAGCCAGAAATTTGCGCCGGAGTTTACAGCCGGTCACCGTGAAGAAGAAGAAGAAGAAGAAGACGAACAAGAAAAGATTAACCTCACTGCACATCGAACCATTCAGTCCATAAGTGCTCGGATCCCCTCCTCAGTAAATCTCCCATCGGCTCACGACACCAGTTCTGTGTTGTTGTTTTTTTTTTTTTTTTTTTTTTGGCTTCCTCCAAATTGCTCTTGTCTGGCCATACCCTTTTAACATGTAATTCTTGCAGTCTGTTCATTGTTGCAAATTTACAGTCATCACCTGGTTCTCGCAAACGTCTTGCTTCTTGTAGAGCATTCAGGATATCACCATAGTCTATGGCTCGTCCGCCTTCCACAGCGGATCTGCAAGCCGATCAACTTGCTAATTTCTTTGCACGCCTGCGTGCCCTAGTACAAATATGAAACTGATATGTGGCAACCCTGATCACTGTAGAGACTCCAGCCACCGTCTTCAAATCCGACCCTCCTCTGTCTTCCTGAACATACTCATTGAATTACGGAGAAAGCATGCACGGGAAAAGGTCTGTGTCTCCAGCCATGTTACTGCTTTGGTCACTGCCATGACCTCCATAGTCAGACTACTTGTGGTCAAGGCATCGGCACCAAAATCTTGTTTACATTTCTAACTCCAGCCCGAGCAGTAAAAGTCCAAGAGCTTCTCACATGGCGAATTACAGACCCATATGTGTGCATGACAGCATCTCCCGTAGAGAATTCTCAAAAATCAAAGCCTGCACTTCTGCATCAACAGCGGCAGGACGTTCTTGTCCGCATTTTCTGTCGATGGATGCAAACAGAAAAGGTCATACAGCACCCGTTGGTATTTGTACCCATTCCTCACTAGGTTCAAAGTCTTTTATTCACATGTTACTATGTCTATATCTAAGGTTTGGCCTCTAATTATTTCAACAACCCACTAGTTCTACATATACCATATTTTTCCACTCATTTCCCGTGTAGGTTCGGGGGCCCCACTTAGGGAAAAGAGGGGGGGGGGGGGGTAAGAGAATAGACCCACGGTCCTAAATAAGCATAGCATGAAAGACGAGTAATTAGGAATGTTTCCTTTGAAGTCAAGAGTGCATCTGCCTGAGAGGGGAGGAGCCAGTGGTCTCGATACAAATAAGATAGATCTGTAAAACGGATATGCATGCCACACTCAGTTCTGGAACTAAATTAAATAAATAGACGAACAACCAAAACTTTCCGACTGAGATTACAGCCGATGAATACTAAGAATTAAAAAAAAAAGAAGAAAAGGCACACTGAAACAGGGAGAAAGAAAGCAAGAAAAATAAATAAGGAAAGCTCAAATACCTGGAACATAAGTAATTATAAAAGCAGTACTCGTTTCATCCAAATATACAAAGACATAGAGGATTAGGACAGCAGATGTTACAAGACTACTTATTTATCTGAAAAGCACAAAGTCATGGAATTTATGACGCATATCAACACTAAAAATAGACTAGAGAAAATAACCTCACATGGGAAAATGTTAGGCAACATACACGCACACATAGCTACACACATGGGGTACGAGAGAGATGGAGAGACAGAGACATACATGTAGACAAGCTCGTACACAGAAAGAAAGAAGATGCTTGTGGAAGCTTAAAAAGCGTGACTTTAATTAATAAAAATTAACAGCGTCAGCTACACTAACATATTTAAAGTCAGAACGAATTGGGCTGACTGACTGACTTTCTTCCCCACCAGGACATCACACAAGAGATAAACACCCGATGACACAATGTGCCACCATGTGGATGAGGATCACCGTGGAGAGGTCTTAGAAACCGCGTTCAGACAATTTGCCACATTTATGGGCTGCATATATTGCGACCCCTGGCAAAAGCCAGGGTGGGGCTTCAAAGAACAAAAAGTTGTCCTGAAAAGGACGTAACTATAATAACCACCGAATTGGAACAAGGCCGTCTTCAATATTGAAGACGGCATTAACTGGAACGCTAAGATCACTAATATTCTTTGCCGACCAGCCTCTTGAAGACGAAGAGATGTATATAAAATTACTATTAAATTATTGGCACCAATCTGTATTTTGAGATGTTACCATTTCACTGTACTTCATGGAGGCATGGGAATCAAAGCCAATGGCGAGTGTGACTAGCTAGACCTGCTGGCGTTTTTTAAATATCCAGAAACCATGAGTTGTTAACCCTTTGGCTCGGAACTATGGATATCGCAAACCTTCGGCATTGATTCCATGATAGGTATCGTAAATTTGGGAGCAATGTGGATTTTCAACCTACCCCTGGTCGTGAACCCGAATCACAAGCAGTTCGTCACCAGGTCGCCGCGAAGTCAGGTTTAACCAACTACGCTAGCGAGCCGGAACCTGCTGGCGTTAAAAATAATCTCCCACAAAAGTGTCTGAGATTTCTTGACCATAATATACTTCAAATATATCTGACATTTTTTCTTCTCATATTCCCAGCTTTTAACCTATCTGCAGGGGTTATCTATCTCCACAGCACAAAACTTTGGTAGCACTGTAAAGATCATGTGAATTGATGGCAGCATAATCGCCCCTCTAAGGCAGTTTTATTAACTCCAAACAAAAGGCAACACAAATACGTATGGGACAGGGCTTGCTCCAGAAGCTTTTTGTTTAGAAGGGCAGTATTCTGTCTGTTCGCCTGTCGAAGCTTCCCTCCGACATCCTTCCAGCACCCCCCGCATTTAATTTAAATTAACGTTAGAGTTTAAAACTTCAGTATCACAATCATCTCTGCCTTGTTTGTGTTCGTTATATTGTGAAGCGTGATGATATATTTTTCGTTCGGTTTTACATCTTTACCTGAATTTTAAAACCTTTTCTAGATTGAATGCGTCATATTTCCATTAGTAGACATAGAAATCATCATCATCAGTTCTCTTTATGCCTAGTGGCACACGAGGCTTCAGAGAGGA